TCTGTTCACTATTGTATCGTCAGCACCTAGAAAAGTGCCTGGCACATAACAGGGGTTCAACGAATGTCTGATGAGAGAATGAGTAAGTACACGAATGTTTAAGGGCAGAGACTCTGGTCAGACTGTATGAGATCTCATCCCAGCTCTTCCACCTACTGGGTGATCTTGGGCCACTTACTTTGCTCCTCTGAGACTCAATGTAACCAGTAAAAGGAGAATAACAACAGTCCTTGTCTCATGGGATTACTGGGGGATGAAATAAGATCATGCATGTAAAGAGGTGAAAAGCCCGCCTGGCCCCCCGCGAGTGCTCAGTACTAAGCTGGCGGCCACCACAGCCTTCATTTGCCAGCATCTCTTGCTTGCTCGGCTGCTCCCTGGTTCATCACGTGTTCCCACTCCGGTGTCCGCTCCAGCCGGCCTTACTTACTGCCGTGCCCCCAGGGTCTGGCAAGGTGTGGGAAGAGAAACTCAGGCCTCCTCTCAAATCAAGGAGCGCGGAGCTGGCAGACACAGCTTCAGCCCGAGAAGGAGCCTCACCGATCTGTTTCTCCAGCGCGGCTGCCTCACAGACGGTGGCCCGGGGCAGGATCCCGGGGTCGGTGAAGCTGGTCCGCAGCAGGCAGCTCATGACGAAGAAGAACAGGATGGCAGCGATGATGGGGATGGCGAGGGTCAGCTGGCGGGCCAGGAAGGGGCAGCTGCGGGGGGGGGGGGGAGAGATGAGCAGATACCCAGAGAGCCCCCTGCGGCACAGGGCTACAGCACCAGGCAGGTGTTGTCATCCCAGAAACACCCCGCATTCCTGTTCGTGCAGAGAGCCTTTCCCTGAGGAAGAGGCACAGCTCCTGGGCCAGGGCCTCGGGCAGCCATCACTAATTGATCCTTGCGCTTTCCCTCTGAGCCAATAGCAGACATGATCAATAGATCCCAGCACTTTTTTTTTTAAATGAGCTAAGGAGAGGAATCTAGATCCCAGCATTTTTTTTTTTTAGATTTTTTAAAAATTTATTTATTTGAGACAGAATGAGAGAGAGAGAGAGAGAGCACATGAGGGGGGGTAGGGTCAGAGGGAGAAGCAGACTCTCTGCTGAGCAGGGAGCCTGATGCGGGACTCGATCCAGGGACTCCTGGATCATGACCTGAGCCGAAGGCAGTCGCTTAACCAACTGAGCCACCCAGGCGCCCTAGATCCCAGCATTCTTAACCCCTGCACTTAGCTGCAGCCTCAGAATCCTTCCAAACACAAAGCTTCAGGCAGCCACTACCAACTCGCGTGAGTTGACCATCCATGAAAATGTTCACTCACTCACTCACTCCACGAATATTTAGTGAGGTCTTACATACGCCAGGCAACACCTTCCCCAAACAGCAGTGAACAAGAGCGTTGTTCCCCACCCGCCATGAGGCTCTGGTCTGGTGGGGAAAACAGACCTGTGGACAGACAGGAGCCACACAGGGCTGTGTGTGCTAACACGGGAAAGAGGAAGACAGCCAAACAGTCAGCAAGTCTGGCTGAAGGAGATAATGCCTAAGCTAAAATCTGAGGAATGAAAAGTGTCAGCCAGGTGAAGGGGGTTAGGTGGAAGAGCATGGTCCAGTCACTGCCACTGTCATCCAAGGGCTGGCATCCCAAGTCAGTGCATTCAGGGGCCCGAGCCTAGCTGGTTTGGAGAACAGCCTATGCACGGGCTGACTCTGAGGCCGGCCCACATGATTAACTGCTGTCGTCTGCTGTCTTCCCTCCCGGAGTGAGAGGGCCACCTGATGGGGGGAGGAGTTGCTACTTGGGAGGCCAGAATCAGCCAAGGAGCTGGCACAGCTGCAGAAGGCAGACCTGTGGACACCCGCATGCTCCTCCCAGAGCCTCCACTGCCAGAGGCTCTGGCCTCCAGAGAGGCCCTTCCCTTGAAGAGCAGAGGCTGCCAAGACCAAGGGCTCCAACGGGACCACACATTCTGCTCCAAACACCTCAGTGGTTGCTAGGTCCGAGCCTCAAACAAAGCTGGGCTCTCTGTGTCACCCACATGACAATCAGCCAGTTCGTGGACAGCCAGACTCTTTGCGGGATGGGGACTTGGAAGTCTGGGACTTGTAGAACCCTCAGAAACACCAAGTCCTGGCTCCCTGATTTTGTAGAGGGGGACTCTGAGGCCCACAGCTACATCCCAGATCGCCTAGCCAGCCAACGACAGGACTGGGGCGTCCAGGCGCTCAGCAAATACTCTCTACGTACTCTCTACAACAAATATTTACTGTATTGAGTGCCTACTACACACCAGGCCCTGTTCCAGGCACTGGAGACATAACAGTGAGGAGAACTGAGACAGGCAACAAACTAGCAGAACGTATGCACCAGTATGTTCAGATGGTGGCAAGTGCTTCCAGAGAACCAGCAGTCAGGGGAGAGGAATAGGAGGGAGGGGAGTAGTTTATGTTGACAGTCAGGGAAGGAGGGAAGAAAAGTGAGGGAGGAAAAGTGAGGGAGGGAGCCCTGAGACCAGCTAAAGGAAGGGTATTCCAATCAGTGCGAAGGCCCTGAGGCAGGAGTGTGCAAGGAGGCCAGTATGTCTGGAGGAGGATGCACGGGGAGGTGGGGGGGGGGGGAGGAGAGGGACAGGAAGGAAGCCCATTATCAGGGCGCTGGCTCTTATTCGGGAGAGCCGGGGGGGGGGGGGGGGGCTGGGATCTGACTTAGAATTAAAGGGGCACTCTGGTCTCCGTGTGGCATGGGAAGTGGGACAGAAGCCAGGCACCCTGCTGACAGCCCTGTGCAATAATCCACCAAACCAAACAATGAAGCAAAACCCTTCTCAGCAAGAAAAAGCCCTAGAGAGCCACTCTCTCTTTCCCCAGAGCAACGGGAGAATGTGAGCTCGCTCGCTCTCCAGTGTTTCCCCGTGCCGGGTCCCTACTGAGGTTTCACCCCAGTTGAGACTCAGGGGAGCTCTCAGCCCAAACCCAAACCCTCCTGCCAACTCCACCAGCCCAAGTGAGGAAGAGCAGAGACAAGGCGAGATGATTCACAAGCCCTCCCAAACCCAGAAGTCCTCCTTTCTCCCTTCTCTGGGGGACAAATCTGTCACCAGTCAAGATACCCACGGAGCCCAGAAAATCCCGCTTCTGAACTGACTGAACCCCATGCTGCAGGGTCACAGGAGTCAACTTCCTCCTGCCCAGGCTGCAGCCCCGGGGCTACTGGAAAAGGAACTTTCAAAACACTTATGTGGGTCAGCCCAGTGAGATGGATCTGCAACTCCGCCCAGGGAACATGCTGGAGGCTGGGGGTTCCCCAGAGCTTCTGCTTGTTATATTATCCTGGAACTTCTTACCCACCCTGACTCAGAAAGGAAGGGGGAAAGGGAGAAGCTAATTCGTACGAAGTCCTCACCTTGCTTCAAGGGGAAACCCAGGGTTGCAGATACATGATCTGGCAGCTGGAAAGGGGGTGGTGTCTTTGTGGAAGTCTCAGTGTGGCCAAAGGCCCTTAGGAAGTGCTTTATGGTGAAGCCAACAGCTAACAGCAGCATCCAGCATTAAGTGCTTGTTCCTGATTAAAAGCTTACATACATGACCTTGTGCCACCTTCATGATGACCTATTATAAACCCCATTTTATAGATGAGGGTACTGGGGCTCTGAGGTGAAGGGACTGCCCCGAGGTCATGCAGTCTGCAGGTGGTGCGGGCTGGGGCTGGGGCTAGAACCAGGTCTGTTGGCTCCAGAGGAGTTGTTCACTACACCACAGTTAGGGAAGACCACAAAGGATGGACTGAACTAGGAGGGGAGGTGTGAGTGTGTGTGCAAAAGACTCACACAGCAGATGGCTCAAGCTAGAGACCCAAGTTTTCCAAGCTGGAAAACTTCCGATACAAAAATGCGACCCTGAGAAGTGACAAGCATCCCCTCTTCCAACCAGAAAATGGAGATACTGTGTGGACCAATCCTGGGTCACTGGGGATCAAAAGCCCCCAAGGGGGCAAATAAAACCTGTCACACCAAAGCACTCTGCACTCTGGAGAAATAACAAGGCCCTGCGGCTGTTCCTGCTGTGGGACAGGCCCGGGTATGCTCCAGAATGTTGAGAAGGCAAAGAAAACCAGGAGGTCAGAGGTGGGGGGCAGGGGCTTGGCGGAGTCTGAGGGAAGGCTGAGAGGTGCTGGGGAAGCTAAGGAAGGTGTTGGAGAGAGGAGGGAGGCCTGAGAGACCCAGAGCTGTTTGGGAAGATTGCCTGAGGGCCTAGAGGGAGAAAGACTGAGGGGAAAGCAAGGGGGAAAGGTCTGTGCTAGAGAGATAACAGGGGGTCCCAGACGGGGCCCAAAGGCAGCCAGATTTGTAATGGGGAGCATAAAGCCAAAGGACACGGAAGAAATTCAGAAGTTGTCTGGAAGGGACAGAAAACAAAGACGCCTCGAGGGGTCGGAAAGAAGCTGAGGGGGTGGTAGTGGGCAAGGAGGTCCGGGAGGCCTGAGCCAGGTTCTGAGAGGGCACAGAGGGTGGGGCTGTGAAGGCCATGGAGGGCGGTGCTCCTGGCACAGGCTGGGTGCCAGGGAAAGGCAGGGAAGGATGGGGGGGCGGGCCACAGAGGATGGGGG